TACAAGAGTGCATCTGTAGTGTCCAGAGAGTCAAGAAAGGGATCCTAGCACAAAATTCAAAAGAGAAGATGGTATTTGCATACCTCACCTTTCATATTTCACTGCTGGATACCATATAAATGAGGAAAATAATGTTCTCTGAAGTCTGACTAATTTTTCAATTTGGAATGTTTTACATGGTCCATTCTGGCTACAAAAAAAAAAAACCGAACAGGCTTTTAAGCAGCAAAAGGAGTAAATGTTCAAACTTGAAATTATATCTTTGTCACAACTGAGAGAGGYTCAAATTACCGAATTACATTTTAACTTTGCTTCACAACAAGCAGAATCCAGGAAAGCAGTCCAGCCCCTGGGACTCCTGGATTTTGACACATTTGTTTCTATAACCAAGGACAGCAGGAAAAAATGCCATTAGCAATCAGGAACCAACTTAAATCTTGCAGCCCAAGTGACTGAGTTTATAGATTTAGTCACTAACCCAAAACTCAGTATTACAGGTCAGCCTCCTGACAATAGAAACAAATAAGATAGATCTGCTATGATTTTCCAACTCTGAAGACAGTCAGTCCATTTTCCAGAAAAAAAAGAATACATATTTGAAATTTAAAGAATAAAAGTTATTTTAAATAACACAGTAATAGGCAACAAGGAAATGCATACTCTTACACACAGTGGAAGCCACATACACCAGTTTTGAGTAAGATATGCAACATAACAAATAAATAAAGAAATGAATAATCTTTTAAATTCTGACATATGCTTCACTATTACCTYTGAAAAGCTGAAATGTAACTCTTATCCTAAAATCATAGATATGAAAGGAATCACAGAAGGTCACTGCATCCAACTGGTATTGAATCTTGATCAGTTTACCTCTGTTATTCTCAAAGGGTTTTGCCTGGCTTGCAGTCAGAAAGATGTCAGTATTCAGTGGTGAGCAGTGATTTTTTGAATGTCTGGTGTCATGGAGTGCCTGGGACTTGTGCCTTAYTGTGAGTCATAAAGGAGCTGGTGCACCTTTTTACTCTTGTATGGTACTGACAGTTTTCTTTCAAAATAAGCAGTCCTGCAAAGCAAGACCTACTTACTTTTTTTCTTTATTGGTTTATTATGGATTTTTTCAAAGCTCTCAAACAGAGGAAGATGAGTCCTACTAGGCCAGACCAGTTCCTTGTCTGACAATGGCCAGGACCTTACTTACCTGTGAAGAAGTTTATAGCACAAGCTCTGGATGAGCTCAGCACAGTGGTGTCAGTTCTGATCTCTCTTGGAAGCCAATTACATAGCTGTCATTGACTTCATTGACAATTATATTAGTTTAGTGTCAAAATTTTTTCATGCATATTTTTCCTGTCATTCTGTATTCCAGTGAAGTAACCTTGACTGATGGGACAATGACTGAACTGATGGATTATTATTTTAGTAGGCCAACCATAATCTATTTTTGCATCTCGCATTGTCACCCTCTGTAATTCTTCTCAATCCTATTAAGGCTACCTGTAGTTTCAGATACCCATAACTAAAACACTAGATACATTATACATGTGTATGACTTATAAATAAGCAGGTTTTAAGGGCACKATATTGCCTTTCAGCTTACTGTGTTGTAGCTGTGTAAATAGAGGAGTGTTTGGATTGGGACCACAGTTTTGGCAGGCTCATTTTCTGCAAATACTGTCCTATCTCTTCTAGTGCTGATGTGATTTCAGCAATTAATGTCATGTTGGAAGTGCTGTAGCCGAGAAGACTCCAGGACTTCTGGCTTRTTTAGTATGCCCTTGTGTAGAATTCCACATCATGAAGCACAGTCAGCCATAGTGAAGCCTGATGACTGGAAAAACTGCAGTGCCAGCAGTGTCTCCTCCACCAGTAGATGGTACTATATTTTTACTTTAGGGTGTGTGACGGAGAGTGAAACAGAAGCAAATTCAGATGTGTGTTGGTGTGTTGCTCCGACGTACAGATGAGTCTGGAATCACAAAGCACTGGATAGACTACAAGCACGCTCAGGTACAGAGCACAGCCCCACACAGTGTGCTCAAAAACTGTGTCAAAGCCTTTCACCATCATCTTCCAGGMCCAGACCCTAGTTTTTGCATGACTACTCTGCACAGGGATTAGCACTTCTAATGCTTCGAAATGTCCACACTGTGCCTGGCCATGCACAGCAGTTTTTTCTGTGCCCTGAGATGAACTGGCAATAAGATTATCCTTGTGCCTCTCAGGTTCAGTGGGTCTCTGCCCTGAGATGTCTATTCAACTCCCAGCCTGAAAACTGCAAGGAACAGAAGGACTGGCTTATCAGAAAATACTAGATTCCCTGGAAAATACTAGATCTGCATTCAATAGTATAATTGGGATAAAGAATAATTGTAGTGACCCTGCTGGAGTTCCAGAAGCTCTATACAGTCAGTGTTTCTGTTTCACAGGATTTTATTTCAAGTTAAAATAACACAGGAAATCTTGGTCAGCTGTTCATAATTATGATGCTAAAACATTTACACATACAAAGGTGATTCAACTGATATTAATTCTGCTTAAGCAAAAATCATCAAAATATGATATTGCYGCTGATAAGAGTGGTAAAAATGCACTGTAGATAAAAAAGGTTTATTAAATCTAGCCTTGCCTTGTCTTTCATTCATTGAAGTATAGGACTTAAGGTGACACTGTCTGGGCATTTATCAGGGAACATGTATATAATTAATCTCTATATAGCAAGCAGAGCAATCTAGTAATTTTGAACTTCAGTCTAGAGACTTTTTTTCTCCGTTTAAGTCAATTTCTTCATGTACTGCTCCTGCAAGTCTTCACTAAATCRCCAGTATTTGGGATAGATGGAGAGTTCCCATGGTCAGAATTTCACTCATAAATCTGCTTCAGTAATTTTTGTGTGGCTACATGCCAGGACAGGTAATAAACCTGTCTGTAGCTGCTGTATTGAACAGAGCTCCTATTTTGACATTGTCCCGTAGCAGCAATTGCCTGCAGAGTCGTGCAGAGCAGGGAGTCTGAGAAATGATTACAGGACTTAAAAACGCCACAGGCAATTCTCCTAAATCATAATTAAAAATAGATAGCTCTTGCTTCATGTCTGCACCTGGACTAGATGCACAATGAACAGGTTTTCYAATTGTGGTGAAACTTCTTGTCATCATCTTCAGTATTTATGATAATATAATGAAATACTGCATAAAGGACTCAATGTATATGCATATGAGAAAAAAAACATCTCCAGTAAGATTAAAGAATTTAATCTTGGAGTCCCACAAATTGTGGTAAGTAATTCATTCATTCAGGTAAAGATGAGGTTTATTAAGGCATAAAAATGAGATTTCTAATGACTTTTTAATTTATATATGTAAAATAATAAAGTTGGCTAGATAGTTTGTGCTTCCATTCTTATTGACGACCAACAATTAAAGTCAGTGCTTGCTGACTTTCATTAAAGTGTCATGAAGCCTTTAATACATTAGACAATTCATGAACTTATGCAACTACATAAGTAGCAGAATTTTAACATAAATTTTCTCCTGCATTTTCCACACCTTTAATGGGAACAAAACCAATGCAATAACACAGAAAGGCATATCAGGGTTTCACAACACACTTATTCCTCTTTTGGAGAAATGGGAACTGCCACAAAATTGCTTTGACTGTTTGTTACCTCATGCACAAAAGCTTGATCTGTGCTTAGCCATACCTGGCATAGCTCCAGGAATTAAATGGGTCTGTGCTGATTTGCATTAGCTCATGATCCAGGTATTGCTCTAAATCAGTCATAAGTGTCATTTTGAATGGTAAACTGGCATTTTTTTCCTCTTTATGTCAAATGATAAGATTGTATATCAATACATTATTTTCTTTCCCATTTGACCTTTACATTGCATCCAAAAAAAAAGAAAAATATATCAATGTTGATAAATTACTTTTATGTTATTTCTTTCTTCCTGACATTGTCTGAAAGTTCTTCAAAACAAGTTGAGTATGAAAACTGCTAATCATCAGTGAAGTATTCACACATGAAGTATGCCTACTCTCTTCTACAATAATATAGATTCCAAGTTTTTTAGCTCTGTCCATTGACTTGGATTGTTTGTCACAAGTTTTTTGTGATTTCATATTTTTTTCAGGGAAAAAAAGTTTCGCAGTGGTTTCTGCAGTTTATTATAATATAAAAATATGAAGCATGTAAAGATTTTCAGCCAATAAACAACAAGTACATAGTATCATTTGAGTTGGAAAATGCTCTGAGTACAAGTTAACCAGAAACTAATAAGTTCACYRCTAAACCATACCCMTCAGCACCACATCCACACATCTTTTAATGTATCTTCACGGATGGCGAGGCCATCATTTCCCTAGATGACCTGTTCCAATGCTTGACAACCCTTTGGGTGAAGAAAAACCTTCCCTGGCACAACTTGAAGCTGTCTCTTCTTGTCCAGTTACTTTTTACTTGGGAGAAGAGACCAAGCCTCTCCTAATGACAACCTCCTTTCAGGCAGTGGTAGAGAAGTGTCAGGTTCACCCTGAGCCTCCTTTTCTCCAAGCTAAACACCCTCAGCTCCCTCAGCCACTCCCCATAGCACGTGTGCTCCAAACCCTTCCCCAGCCCCGCTGCTCTTCTGTGGACGTGCTCCAGCACCTCAATGTCCTTCCTGTAGTGAGGGGTCCAGAACCAACACAGGATTCACTGTGTACCCTCATCAGTGCCAACTTCAGGGGGACAGTCACTGCTCTGGCCCTGCTGTCCACAGTATTCCTGACACTGGCTTTCTTAGCCACCTGGGCACACTGCTGGTTCATATTCAACTGCTATCAACCAATGTTGACATTTTATTCATTAATTAGAAAGACTTTGACATGCATGGTCTGCTAAAGGACTTGGCTCTCCTGTACCAAGCATGATTTCAGAAGTGTTTGCTGCACTGTTCTCAGTATTCTTGCTCTGGGTAATGCACCACAGCAAAGCCCTGAGCAGCAGGTCAGCACGAGCTATGCCAGCGGAAGAGGAGGTTTTTGGCAGCTCACCCTCTCCCACCTTCTCWGCTGCTTCAGCAGGACATTGTGAATATTACCACCTCACTTCTCAGCAGATCTGCCAACTGAGTCCCTTGCAATATTGCAGCAAGCTCATAAAATTGACAYTTTTACAGAAACAGAGTTGACAGATCTGAGAGGACATAGAATAAAAATAGGAGTTTGGAGCAGACTGCAGACATGCATCTGYCCATATATGTGGTTTTATCCTATGSGCATGCTCATGTTGYAGAAGAAGATCAAAGTGTGCTCCCGAATTTTGAGATTGTACTTTAAATTTTTAACATAACTTTTCAAATACCATTTAAAATTATTGCTCTGTTTTTTCAGCAGTAACCTGTTTTAGAAATGTTAAAGCAGAGAAATTGAACTGGATCCAGGCCACCTTCCACAGAATTGTTATAATGTAGATAAAGTGGAATGGTAATAAAAATTACAAAAGCAAATGCAATGGTCCTTTTCTCCTAACATACAGAGTGCTGGTTACGCTAGAAAATAAATGTAGCAATAAAAAATGAAACTAAGACATTGAAATTGTTCTCTTGGTTTAATCACAGGACTGCAAAGTCAAGGATACCTGAGGCAAGGAAAACGAAGTTATTTTGTTGATAATGTCACTGTATTTCAGTAGTCTGCCCCAGTGGTAAAACTTTCCAAAACCAATGATGATTAGTTTTGGTGCTGTTCTGCAAAGCACAGTTACAGTTCTAATCTCAATCCTGCATGTCTCTGTRGTGCTCTGTGGAGGTGTGTTAAATTTGCAATTTTGCGTACTTTGAGGAATCTTTGTACATGCTAAGGGTCCACAGACTGCCCCAGGAAATTTGCTGAGCAACATKTAATGTTATATTAAGCCTTACATTTTTGTAAATATATTTTATTCTATTATGTCAAAAAYAAGACCTTAGACTTCCACGTTGAAACTATTGATTGGGTAATAAAGGTAATTATTTCTTATAACAACCTGGAGCGTCTTAAGCCACAGGAAGTCATCAGGGTATGCATCACCAGGCACTGCCCTMGTTCTATGAAGCTGGTGTAGTTTGGCCAGGGGATCCCTGTGCCTGCCTGCAGATCCACTGGCCAAAGTGAGCACGGGCTGCTTGTCACAGATGTAAGTAGCTGCACACCAAGAACGCTCACCTCTTCTCCCAAGTGCGAAGARGAGGAGAATTAAATCCATAGAGACTCCCAGGAGAGGCAAATGCTGCCGAGGTACTCCAGGAGAGACCTCTCTTCTTTGGATTCAGGGTACAGGTGGGGTCACAGAACTCCCCACGTCTGGGGCTTGACGACTATCCAGAAAGGCCACTCGGGGTCACTCCTAGAACCCTGCGTGCCCATTGCCCCCCAGGCGGGTGCAGAGGGGCGGCGGGGATGCCGCCTCCATCTCCTTCTCCATCGGGGAGCGCCCAGGTGCGCCGGGCCGCGCCCGGGCGGGCGGAGCCGGCGGCGCGGAGGCCGCGGAGCCCCGCAGGCCGGGGGCTGGAGAGGCGCTGCCC